CACTCCCCAAGCTAGCATCTGCACAGTCCGACAGGACAATGGCTGCTGCCTTCCGAGAAATGCCAACATCCCTCAGCTACAGGTGTTGGACCCAATGGTGGATCATCTCCCTCATGCTCAAGGAGCAGGAATTGCCAGAGAGAAGAGATGGGAAAGTTCTGGCTGTATGGGAGGTGGTCAAGTCAGAAGGGGTCTGACAATTTGCAAATCAAAATTAGAGATGAGGGTCCCCACTATCCAAGAACTTGTGCTGAGTCTCCTCAGGTTACAGGTTTGGTTCTGCCTACAGGCTGCTCCGAGATAAATCATCAAAGCTGTAATAAAACATGTCCTCCAGCCCTTCTGAGCAAGGTGGTATTTGCCTTGAATTTAGATTCACCTGTAGAAATAGTCAGCTACCTAAAAGAAAGTTGAACAACTGGTTTCTGACTAGAATTACTCCCAATGTTTTCGTATTCATGCAAAGTCATAAGGAAGAAAAAAAAAAAAAAAAAAGAGAGGAAAAGTCAAACACCCCTCACCCCCCTCCAAAAAAAATCATGTATCCTGGTAACCATCCTCCACTATAATTAGAAAATTGCCCTTAAAACATAATTGCATAATTGTGCTTGGCAAGTATTCACCCAAATCTCCTACAAATATTTCCGCAGACTGAAGGAACAGGCAGGCGGTGGGCAGGCTGACGAGCCTGCCACAAGAATTAGTGCCCTCAGGACATGTTCCTACCAGCGATTACACYAAATACTTTGCATCACAGCATAATGTTTCAAAACAGTAGTTGAGCAAGTGAAGTAGCAGCATCTCAAAGCAAATAGAGAGGAAGTTTTTTGCTCTGCACACATGCAACAATTCCTCTGAACGCAGAGACAGGGGAGGCTACAAATCCTTTCAACTAGTCACACAGAAAGAAATCCCAAGGATGGAAGAAACATGTTGACTTTTGGTAGCTACAAGCAAACAGGCGCTGCTGGTGCCTTCCTGGCATTGCACATCACCATAGCGCTCTGCCCTTTAAGACAAGGGAGCTCGAGCCCATATATAAACACAGAAACCGCCCATATACGAGCACAGAAACTTGTGGGCTGCAGGGAGAAGTGGTCCAGCAGAAGCCAGAACTGAACTCTGCTTTACAGTGAGGTTGTTTTTACCAGCTGTGCATTATGCATTCAGCAGCACAGCGGATGCCAGCAGGGAGCCTGTATTAACACAGGCACCGAGTACCCCGCTCCCATCACCACCAGCCTCTCCTGAGAAAAGGCACAYGCAGAAAGGACTTAACCCTAGAGGGACCACTCCAACGCTGCTGCTAATTCACCAGCTCGATGCTACAATGGAAATTGGAGAATTGCTGTGATTTATCACAGACAGGCAGGCAACACTGCCAATAACACCTAACTTCTGCTCTACAACAGGTATCGGCAGCGAGTTACACCAGTTAAAGGTGAAGAAAACGTMACGCAGAGCCACACAACAGGGTCTGAAAGCCTGTTGCGGAATGCCAGCAGGAGCTCAGTTCGCTCTGGAAGGTGGTTTCRGCAGTGGAAATCTCTTACGGATGCCCTGGCGTGTCCTCAGGAGAGTCCCTGCCTCTCCCCGGCCGCAGGTGCTGACACAAGCTCTCTAGAGCTCTTGTCAACAGCTCCGAGCTGCAGCTGGCTGCAAACCCTGCCCAGGCCTGGCGGGGATCCGCAGCCCTGGGCTGGCGGCTCCAGGCATCTCCTGCAGGCTCCCGGAGAAAGGTACATGGAGGCTTTCAAAAAAATAAATAAATATTGTTCTATCATCATTTTAAACCAGGTCTTTGAGATGAAAAAGAAGGACATCATGTGTCCTGAGCACTCCTCTCCTGACTACTGAAAAAGTCACATGATGGCAAAGGGAAATAAAATACCAGTCTGAAGAGTCCGAGAGCTGCTCTAGAAAACTGAATTCCAGTGTGTACCCGGAGTGCAGGAAACACCTCTGGATAATCTGTATTTATTCATACCTCCTTGCTCATTTTTGTTCCTTTCTCTTGCTAAGAAGTAGAATGAGTGAATATCCCTAATACCAGAGCTGGTTTGAGGTAGCATTAGCACTGAAAATTTTAAGGGGCTATTTAATATGCAATATTGCGCTTCYCAAGAACATAATACATGAGGTTTATAAAAGTCTCATAGCACATCTATGCATTACAACACATTTTTATTAAGACACTGAAGTGAAAGGCAGAGACTGTTCCTTAGAAAAGAGGTTTCCTGGAAGAACCTGCCCTGCAGAAGAGGCAACACTATTGCCAGGGTGAGGCACCCCTGGAAGGTTTTGCAGCATCAGTGCTTTGTGCCTCCCACCACAATAGCAGCAAGCACTCCAAAAATCATAATATAACTTAATTCAACATCATCACTCAAAAATACTACAGTGATAAGTAGTTAACCTGGTTCATGACTGGCAGGGAGGGACTTGGTTGCCAGTCACCCAGTCAGTGCATTGCCCAGAGCACAGGACACTCTTTCCTGCACTCCCTCTGGGATTAATACAGGCTGCTCCTCCTTCAAAGTTCAGTGGAACCTGCGTCAAGGCTCAGCTCAACATGAACATGGGAAGTTAGGCAGAACAGGTGCTCCCAAAAACATGTTGTTCTAGGGAGGGTGTTAGCAAAACCATATTGTCTTGGTGACTGTTGTGAAATGCCCAAGAATTGACCACTCGCAGAAAGCACTTCTCCTGCTGACCACCACATTGCTGGGTCATTTACAGTCCTGCTCCAAAGCTTGAGGGATAACATTYTGGACAGAGCAATGACTAGCAGAACATCTCCCTAATCTTATCACAGTAAAACCACCGAGATCCCCCAGAGCTGTCGTTAATAGCCAGGACAAGCCAACATATAGAGGAACATGAGTTAAAATGGCCAGAAAGCAGAGATCTGCCCTAAAGGMCAAGTCATTCAGAGCAGCAACATCTGAGAACCTGCACAGAGTCTCCTGGCCTATCAATCATTCACCAATTACACACCAGTGTAATTAAATCCAGAAAGCTACATTTAATTTTCCTATCATTACCCGATGAGATAAGAGCAGTACGTATGGGAGGGAGCAGGCACAGAGGAAAGAGCTTCTTATTTGTAAGTTAAATCCTTTTAGATTTAAGCTGCTCTTGAGGCAGGAACATTGCTCCAAGTAAGAAAGATCTGGTGCAGAAACACAACCTTGGGCCCAACCCAGATAAATCGGACACATCATCTCTTTTTTTGACCTGGGCTTGGTCCTGCAGACTCTTTCTTTTTCAGGAATAGCTCTCACTGTTCTGACAGAAATAACTTAGACAGGAACGCGCCTCCTGTTTAAACCCCGGTTTAGTTTATWCTTGTAAAACTGAACAAGGCTCCCCTCCCGCCCGCTACACCAATAAAGCCACATTAATTTATGTCAGTCCTACACAGCCTTAGGCTCCCAGTTGTCCTGAGCGGCAAGGCGTTTAGGTGAACGTGCAGAAATACAAGGCAGGCTACAGCCCAAGTTTCTGTCTCTTTACTATTGCCTTCTCCTGCCAATGCAGGCAGGAAAAAAAAATCCCACCACGACCAACAACTAAACCTAGTCCTTGTCTTCTGCAAAGACTAGCAACACTTAAACAGAGCAGCATAGAGCTTTCTCTACCCACTACCCACACACGCAAAACTGCAGTTATGGCTTTTTCCTTTCTTCTCTTCTTTGCCTCATCCCATCCTGCCCTGCCCTGCTTCACAGAGAGTTATTTAAAGCCCTGATTGAAAGATGTATCAGATCATCGTGGTGAATGACTTCCGTAGGATCAGGTTTTCAATTATAAACCTCCTATGGACTTTGATGTAATCTGTGCTTCATCACATCAATTTTTTCTACACCAGAAGGGAAAAATATTTATTTATAACAGCAACTATAAATACACATGCTACTGACTTTTTAACTTGTTGTCCTTGTTCTCAAGCTAAATTTAATCTGCTATATCCTGTCCAGCCCTGGGTGAAAAAGCAAAACAAGCATAAAAACGGCTGTGCAAAGCCCAAAGCAGGCAGTTACCCTTACCCAGGTACCCTATAACACAACCAGCTTGGCAGAAAAATGATGATTTAGTAAGTGTAGGTTTGTTTCTGACTACAGAAGCAATTGATCAACGATTTCTAGAGAGGATGCCCTCTTGTTAGAGAGAATAATTACTACTGCAATATGATGGGTCTGTGCTTCGGAATGAGAAAGGGGATGCAGGTTACTCCAGTTTGGGATGTGCCACATATGCTGGGAGGCTGCATCTGCACCTCCGAGCTACCACGACCCATGGACTGGCACCTRCTTCTACCCAGCTCCTTATTCCACATGCAGCAACATTGGAGATATTGTTCAAGTCTGGAAGACTGACAACAAGGTCCAACCAGGGCAGAAAAGAGCAGGCTGTCATTTCTTGAAGCTTTCCATTTGGATGAGTGATTTCTCAGTCAAAGCAAGGTAAATATTTACCAGGAACTGCCTGCCTCAAGAGTCAGGATTATTAGTCACTCCACCGTTAATCTTAATAAGCCTTAGTCATGCCAGAGCCCAGGTGACTCCTGGAGCGGCCGGCACTTGTGAGCCCACAGTTTACGGATCCCTGCCGGGGATCCAAAGTTTCCCGCGGATGAGGACTCTCCCCTGCACAACCCGCCTTGCTCCACGCGCCGCAAGTTTCGCAGCCCATGCAGGAGACTCAGTTCTGGGGGAGATGCCCCTACAGCAGCAGCAGCCCGATCGCGCAAAGCAGTAAAATAAAATACAGTAGATTTCCTACGCTCTTGTCAACGGAAGGAAAAAACAATAAAGGCTCGGGCTGGGCTCGCCCCTCGCTTTTCCTCCGTGCTCTGGCGAAAGGGGGGAGCCAGTTCGGTGGGAAAGCGGCTCGTCCTGTGGCCGGGAGCTCCGGCCCCTTCCCGGCCCCGCTCCCGCTGCGCTCCCGGCGCGGAGGCTCCGCGGGCAGCCCCGGCCGGGCCCCGGCGCCCGCCCTACCCAGCATGGAGAAGATGAAGTCCTTGGCCGTGTGGATCTCCAGGGCTCGCTGGTCGTCGTACTCGCGCTGGTCGTGCTTGGTGAATTCCTGGATGAGTTTATTGAGCTCCTCCACGCGGGCTCCCGATCGGAAATCCAGCTCCGGCAAGGGAGGCTTGCTGCCGGGGCCGGCGGACCCTGCCTTGCTGGCGACGGGCGCCGCCATCTTCATACGAGGGAAAGAAAAAAAAAAGGGTGGTGCCCAAATTGTATTAATGTGAGCCTCGGGCACCGAGGGGAAAAAAGGAAAAAGGGAGGAAAAAAAAAGAGGAAAGAAAGGGAGAGAGGAGGGGGAAGAAAATAAAAAAAAATAAAGGCGCGGGGCGGTGGGAGGAGGAGGGAGCGGCGCCGCAGCGCAGCCCGGCCGCGGGGGCTGCGCGGAGCCGAGCGGGCGCCGCGATCAACAAGCGGCCCCGCCGCCCGCGCTCCCTCCTTCCCTCCCCCTTCCCTCCCTCCGTCGCCCGCTGCCGCCCGCGCCGCCGCGGAGCCGCCGGGGCCGGAGCCGGGGCCGCGGCCGAGGCGGGGCCGGTGGCGCGGGGCCGACCCGGCTCGGGGCCTGCGGCGTCACGGCGGGCGGGGGCGGCCCGCGGCCAACTGCCGCTGCTCTCCATTTATTTATTTATTTTTCATTATTATTCCCCTAAATCTGAACTTCGGCGGCTGCCTCATCCTGCAAGTGGGTTAATAGCTGGCTTGGGACGCTGCACTTGTGCCACATGCTCCCGAAGACATTTTGTGTTTATTCCTTTCTGCTTCAGTAGACATCCCGGAGATCTTATATAGACACACATTATATATACACATATGCAAATGCACACGCATGCATTTATGCATATAAGGAGGATTCTTGTGGTACGTCTTAGAGGCAGCGACCAAGACAAAGTTTCCTCGCTGCTGCACTTCAGACCGAGCCTGCCTAGAAGCTCTGGCCATGGACACTAAGGGCAGGACGGGAATGGGGAGCCCTGAGGACYRGTCTGAGGGCAGCGAGCTGGTGGCAGGGTGCCCACACCTSTCTGGCCTCCATCCGTTTCTGCGTYTTCAATACGGCAGGTCTTTGCTCCCACATACATCTTGAATGTCTGCTAACTTTTCAGCCYGGCATGTTTTTTCTCCCTCTGTCTCGTCAGGTAGCATATAGAGCATATAGGTGTTATTTACCATAGCCCATTCACTTGGAGCATTGTCCATCCTCCTGCCCAAGGAGCCTCCAAACATGCTGTGATGGCCTTCCAGAGAGGCTCCGGGTGCTGTGGCACTGATGCACATGGCCTGGATACAGGTCCAGGTCCAGAATTTTTTCTCAAGATTCTTGGCAGAAAACAAAGCTTTAAGCTCAACGCCAGCTAAGGCAAAATGTGCCTAACAAAATTAGGTGTGAGGGAGCCAGAGAAAAACAGGAAGGTGGAACTAAGCTCAGTGTAAAGGGGTCACAGGCTGGTTTTCCAAATGCATTATAAATATGGATGCTAGTACCCAACCTGTGCTCAGGAACTTGGTCTGCTTCTGCTGGACCACTAGTCTTCATCAAAAGTGGAAGATCAGCAACCCTTGATGTGGGGTCTTCTCTAGGACAAGAATGAAAATCAAAAGTGGATTTATACTCTATAACTGAAACCACAGCCTGTTTGAAGGAGAAAGGTTTGTGCTTCCATTTCGGCCTTTATCGCCTTGCTCAGTCTCGGGGCACTGATATGCTCGTTATCTATGAAATGATGTCTCAAAGGTGAAGGCTGGAGCTCCAGTGTGTGCACGCACGTGCCCTCTGCTGGGTACAGTGGCCTGCTGTGCTCAGCTCCTGCTCGCAGCCCGGTCTGACACACGTCATGGCATGCAGCAGCATCTGAGACTGCTGATCAGCTGTGTGTCACACCARCAACCGACCAGCACCGGGTTTGGCTTCCCTGCTCTCCCTCTCCAGCAAATCTGCCAATCACAACAACCAACCGGCAGTATTAAGATCGTGTGGCATCTCAGATGTGGCATTGCGGAAGAGCAATCAGCAATCAGTGCCCCACTTGTGCTGGTGGTGGCCTGTCCTGATGTGGCTCTCTGCAGGCAGGGCCACTGCTGCTCACCAGGGTCAGCCCAGGCCTCCCGGGGTTGCTGCCCACACAAGTGCTCCAGGCATCTCACCTCTGGCCCCTCTCGGATGTTSAAAGTCCTGTGGCTGTTTCTTTGTGGTGTGTGGTTTCCTGGGGTGCCAATCTCACGCGGGCAGACAGCTCCCTCTTGTGATAACACCAGGCCCCATCATCGACATGCGCAGGAGTCACCACAGCTCCTGAAGCCCCAAGGACATCAAGTCCTCTGTTGTTGCCCTGTCCTTCTTTGAACATCTGCTAAGTCCCCTGTATCCCTGCTATAGCCATTTCTGGTTCTTTGGTTGTCCATGTTCCACTTTTGTGTGGAGTGAAAAGCCAGCAGGCACAACACATGTGTCACGGGCACCACTTTGTGAAATAGCTGGACCTTTTGGTCACCAGCTCTCTTGCCTCATCCCTTTCAAGTTGGTGCTCTCCACAGGTTTCACAAATTGGGAGGTTTTCTCCCCTAACTGCTCAGTTATTGGATCAGATTTCAATACTCAGTCTTCCAGTCATTTTTTTCATGAGTGTTTTGTTACGGGTTCTCTCTTTCACTCGGCCTCCAAATGGTCAGACTGGTTCTTCACTCACAGATTGATTGCAGACTTCCTTATATTCTCTTTTTCTATTTTCTTTTTGTTAATCCCATTCAGCTAGCTTTAACTGCTTAAATTCCCTAGACATCCATTGAAACCTTCAAGTGCTTCAGAAAGAGGTAGCACCAGAAGCAACGGTGACTTATGTCTGATTACCTATTTTAATAGCATCTCTGCTTAAAGTTGCAGTCACTTTCACGTTTCCAAAAAGTTTTCATTAAATTAGGGCATTAACTGCTCCATGCTTTTCACTCATCCAGTGTTTGGTTTATTCCTGGTACTATGCATAATTCAGAAATTGCTCAGACCCAGAGAAAGTGCTTCACCTAATGCCTGAGCTCTGCTTAACAATGTCCATCAGTAGAGTAGTATTAAGCAAGTAGTTTTAATTCTCTTCAAGAGTCTCTGAAAAGTAATGCCCCTCTCTGACTCCATCTTAGTGCTAAGATAAATTCTCTTTCACATAAAGCAGTTGTGTTTGCAAAAGCAGACCTCTTTCTACTGCCTTCTCTATAAACCTTTGAATAGGTTCAGGTCCCTCAGCAGCAAGTGGGATCTGCAGATCTGCTCCACTGTCGTAGACTTGTTAATACCCTTGAGACTGCATCAGCTTGTGRTTTTACCTCATCACATCAGTGCATTTTAGGATCTCTGAATAAATACACAGTTAATTCAACTCTTACGTAAATCAAGCACTGGGGATTATCTGAGCAAATAATTGGGAATGAGATTGCTAGTACAGTTGGCCAGTAGTTTTTCTACTAGATGTTTAGGGTTTTTTTCTTTCTGAAAATGCCGATTCATTGAAATGGAGCCTTTTGTGCAAATACTGCAGCATCCTCAAAGCTCTTCCTGGAAACGTTAATGGGGTCTAGGGGGACTCTGTGGCCTATACCATGTTAGGCTCAGGACTTACTAATGAAGGTATTAATCTAATTTGGGATAAGGACTGAATATCCTGACTACTAGACTGTGCTTTGCTTGAACTGCGATCTCTCTCTCTCACGTGTTCTTCCTCTCTCATGTGTTTTCTTTCCTTCAAAGCACCTTTCTCTTTTTCTCCTTTTATTTTCCTCCTGCAGAACAGATACCCTCTTTTCTGCTCAGTACCAGTCCCAGCACTTAGTGGTAGAACAAGCCACAGCGAAATGAAGCAAAAGAGAAGAAATAACTGTTCTCACTTCTGTAGCGTGACCTGAGACCTCTAAATGCTTTTCACACTTGAATGGCTGTCTCAAAAAAAAGAAAAAAGGGGCAAAAATCTTGCTGAGTAGCAAATGAGTATTAATACCAGTCCTAAGACTGGGAAAACAGATGTGCAGTAGCTGTGATGATCAGCTGGCCCAAGGAATGGAGAGAGGAAGATCAGGTAACCCAGTGCCTGACTCAGTTCTGAGAAGTGGTTGGGAGAATTAATCAGAGCGAGATCCAGAAATAAAATGGAGCCTCAGATATATCATCCTATTATATTTCACTGCAGCTGTTAATTATGGTATGACATGATGAGATAGATTCATCCCTCATTTCATAAAAGATTACCCAGAGTTTCTGAGGCTAAAAGTACGTTTGAGGAACACCCTTCCTTTCTGTACTGAGCACTAGCACAGCCGTAGCAGTGCAGAAGGCTTCATGTTACAAGGGGCTCTAYCAGGAACAAAATCATTAACTGGTAGATATTCTGTTTTTCAACCTGTTGCCTACTTTTCTGGTCTTTCCCTCCATTAGCAGACCCTAAGCTGGCCCAGGAATGGGACTTTTTTCAACATACAATTCACACAGTTCCACCAAAACACTATGAGATTTGCTTTGGAGACCTGCAGCAAGCAGGAAATGGACTTTTCTCCTGTATCCAGGAGATCTCCCTTGCCTTTGCCATTTATGAAGGAAAGACAGTGCCATTGTAGCCCATGGATCTCATGCATTTCACCACCTGGAGCTGTCCCCACATGGGGACGTGTGGCACCAGCTGTGAAAGTTGCCAGCCAGTTGCCAGCACAAGCAGCATGGATTAACCTCAGCTCTTCCCCTCTGCAAATGCTTGGTGTGTCTCTGTCATTTCCCAGAGACCATGAGAAACTCCATCTGCTCTTGTTTTCCCTCTGATCACCAGCGATTATTTCCAGTTAGTGTCTGTAAATAAAAATCTGGGTAATTTACAGACACATCTCCTGCGTGCAGGCAATCATGATGGATGAGTTGCACCCAGCACATACCACAGTCTTGAGACAATTTAAAAAAAGGAGCACGTTGCATCCCTGACAGACTTTAACTTTTTCTCTATGTCGAAAAAATACAAAAACCCTCCTTCTGTGAAGAGTTGTGATCTCCTCCATCCTGTCAGCAGAACGCAGCACAGAGCCATCCATGGCAGCAGAGCTGTGCTCATTAAAACCTTCTGAAACAATGGCATTGCATCTGTCATAGCCAGCCTCAAAGTATCCATACTTGGGATGCTTAAAACATTTTCTAAAAGAAGAGCAGATGCTTTGTCTATATCCCAAGCTAGAAATGTGTCACTGCTGCTCGTTTATCAACTAAGGCTTTTGAAGTAGGATTTTGAGAGGCAGAGCCTCTTAGTTCTCCACCAACTTTACAGGCTAATCATGGCAAGTCCCCTGCCAGTTCATGTACCGTCCTTGCCTCCGTGTCCTTGGCTTTTTTTTGTGAAAATATACTGGTGATCTATCTCACTGTTGTGAAGTGTAATTAGATCCTACTTATGCACCTGTGAAGCTCATCTGAAAAACTTCAGAACTGTAAGGGCTGCTGTGRGAAATTATTTCTTCTAGTCATTTCCCCGTTTTATGTCAATTTTCTATCTTTAGTTTTATTTAAGTGCTGAGGTGATCTCAAGTAGCAAAGTTTGGATTCTAATCTGAGCAATGCTGGGAGGGTTACACTGGAGCTAATGCTCTGGCACAGAGATATAACCAGAACGTAACGTCCCTTAAATGCAAAGGATACAGATTTGGGATTTGGGATGGTCCCGTATACAACAAATACTCTGGTAAGGCAAWCTGAAGAGTATCTTCAGCAAGATACATCCCAAGATACATTATGTGTTTGCGTTATTTGTGGCTTGATTGCATTCATCACTGTTGTTCACTTGCACTTAATTACTTGTAGTACAGTCACTTAAAAAAACACAAATGAAAATCAGGGCCTCATTGTACTAGAAACCAGATATAAACATAATGAAGTGGCTAGTCCTTAGTATTCCCATTTCATTTCACTGTAGGATCAGACTTCAGGCAGTGCCTCTCTCCCTACTCAGGAACTTAGARAAGTTACCTAGGAGTTTTACCTGAAGTGATGGATAGGTCCAGGGAGAAAAGAACAAATTATACCATTTTTCCTGTATCAGACCTTAGCTTTCAAGGAGACTACCAGAAGCAATTTAGCTATCACATCCTATTCTGCAGCCATGAAGCTGATTTCTGCCTGACACACTTTACTCAAACTGTCTCAAATAGCAACTGTCCTTGGGAATCAGACATACCTGTTACTTCTTGGACGATTGATAGAATAGCAATCCCAGCATTAGTTGTTGTTTAAAATCCCACATCAGGTTCACTGGCGACTCGGTTCTTCTCCAGACCTTTGGGTAGTGGAGCTAACTGTAAAAGATGGATATTTTTTCAAGAATGTAAACAAAGAAGCTCCAGCCCTTACTCTTTCATGCATCCCTCGTGAATACAGATGTTAAAACCTCATAAGGCRGTAGAAGGAAGGAGGTTTGTAGGGAAATGCTACAATTCCTGGTAACAGCATCCACACAAAGACAGAACACAGTCATTCAKCTCTGTATTTGGAGCCAAAAGCCACTCACTGCAGCCTTTCCCCCTGTTGTGCCTCCTCATGAAATACCTCACCTGTAACTGATTGCCAAACCACTGGCTGCTTTATCCATTTCCCTTTGATTAGCATGAAGATCTGAGAGCTTTCTATAAAGGTACATTAAAACAAAATGATATCTAGGAGGCCCGAGCTCTGTAGTGTATTAACTGCCCTACTTCACTGATAACCTTTGAGCATCTAAAGACACAAGGGACATCCTTGGGTCRCTGCAAACATATTTTTAAGAGCTTGTGTTTTGTGTTACAGCAGCATTCAGCACAGCTCTGGCTGGCAGACAGATTCGTATCTGAGGAAGAGAAGACTTAAAATAGCAGCAACAATTTTTGCTTAATTAGATATAATTACAATGTGTTAAAAAAAAGAAAAAGAAACAGAAACCCTTCTGCCATATTTGTGAAAGACTGAAAATCTGACAAATAAAACCTACCATAAGAGGCCTGGAGTTTGTGTCCCAAACAATAGACACACTATACTTACCAAAACAGATGATTATAATAGAAGGAAAAAAAAAAGAGAAAAAATGAGAAGAGGTAAAATACTTCTTTTCAAAACTAACAGACATTAGTGAGGTGGGATTTGTCCAGAACTGCAAGATGAATGTRGGTTTTTGTTTGTTTGTTTTCTAGTTTTAGTTCAACTTACAAATTGAATAATTAAAATAATTTATTTTCTATTTCCAGTATTGAGCATGCCATTTTCAGCTTCCTGGAATGACCTGTGCTTACCATTTAGTTYAGTGCGTTGTGTTGACCATTGGTGGTTGGCGTATAAATACCTGAAATCTGTGATTCCCTTTGAAATGAAAAATGTTTTAGTCTGCAATAATCCAACAGCTTCTGTTCTGTGGGTTTTCAATGTGTGGGCGGGTGATGCTGAGATACCTGCCACAGAAGCACCTTTGTAACCTTTCCCTAAATTCATTTCCCTTAGAAAGGCCATAATGTCCGTTAGTGCTAGAATCCCTCAGCAGCTTCTGTTCTGCAAGCTTGGCACGTTGTCGTCACCCGGGAARAAAATTTCATTAAGTCGCTGTGTTTCCCCTTTCCCTGCCCAACTCTTTTACAGACACAGGGAAGTCCTGCTGTTCCTGCTGTCATCTTTCTTCCACATTCCCTGCTGTGAACTGAGGAGAGGTAGGTGAGGAGGAGTGTCTGGACACTGGCTCTGGCTTCTGCTTTCTCAGCCCTGCCCGCTCTCGCATGTGGCAGCCTCAGCTGCAGTGCTTAAGCTCTGGGGAGCCCTGGCAGAGCACTTGCATGATGCACAGCTCAGCATGTGCCCCATCAGGTGGTGGGAAAAACAAATAAATAAAAAGAAATAAGTTGTTTTAGCAGAGCGGAGGCTGCTGGAGATACCTTTGCTCTAGGACTCAGTCCAAGGTGCAGTGGTTCTTCAGCTTCCTTAGAATTTGGCCCTGAACGTGAAAGGAAGGAAGCAAAGGAAGGAAGGAAAAATATCCTGAAGGTTGTTCAGGGCTCCTGTAGCCAGTGACTGTATGTGGGCAGATAGTCTATTGGCAAAGAGTGGCAGCTCCTGTCCCTAGCAGTGCTCTGGCAGGCTCCCTTGGCTGTCTCACCTTCCCTAGAATAGTGCTCTGGGGTCTGTACATTAATGTGCCCTATGATTCCTGGTATCAATAATACATCTTGGCAGTAGGAGAGAAGAATTGGGGTTTCAGATGGAACTGCTGTTCAGGCTCCTCTCTGAATCAGAAACACTCTTCACTGCCTACGTGGGAAGACACATGCAGGGTTTCTTCCTGCATGCAATTTTCTGGGTTTTGATCAAATTCAGACACCAGTTTATAGCGTCAGCCTCTCAAGCTGTAATCCAAGGCTGCAGGGTCTGGGTGGGAATAACGCTCTGCAAGAAAGAAGTTCATTCAGGACCAAGACCTTAGATTCTTTTTCRGCCCTTTTGCTCTGTGGTGCCTTTTCATGGGGTTGTGGGGATGGTCTTCTATAATTTCACACTGTCCTTTCTCCCAGCCACCAGTTCCCTGGTCTTTGCCGTCTGTTTTTGCTTTTCTTACTCTAATGAGTGGCTGGTACAAATAGAGGTGTACAGCATAATTGAACTCCCTGAAAGTATTTGTAAATAAAAGGTTTTCAAAAACCTTTTATAGGAAAGCCCTATAGACATTAATAGATAGTGAACACTTTTCTATAGGCATTGTTTTTCCCCTAGTCTATAGAATTCAATGGAGAATTATATTCCTTCTAACAAACCCCAAAGGATGATTCAGAAAACTGTTAGAAAGGATCTAATTCTCTGTAATTTTCTGCAGTAATTGAGATAAAAGCCATTCAGGGTCTATTACAGTTCACGGGATTTTTCCATGGGAAAATAACCGATCAGTTTAAATTCTCCGTGGTTACTTAAGTGAAGTAAAGCCAAATACTAATGGTTGTTTTTAGTTTTGTTTGTTTGTTTTCAATGAAAAAAAAATCCCTTTCATTTCTGTGAGAATTTAACTTCATTTTAGGAGATGTTGAAGACCCGTGATTAAGCCCACTGGTTCTGAGTTTTAGAGCAGGTCGTCAAATTCCACCTTCTGCAAGACCCAAACCACCTAAATGATTTTTCCACTTCTTCCTCCGGGCTGGCGGGKCCCGAATGCTCCACAGAGGCACCACACCCAGCAGTAGGTCGCACTTGGCTAGCACGTGAAGGCTCAGGGCTGCAGTGACCTCGGGGATGGTGGCATATGTGGGCCCCTGCCAAGTGCTGAGTGTAACGCCACCAGTGCTGTTCCCATCGCGCGCTCGGGGAGCTCTCTGAGGCCCAGCTCTGCTCAGCACTTACCTGTTTTGTCCAGCAAGCAGAGATGATGCTTCTAGACTGTTGTGTTCGTCTTGTCCTGGTCTCCATATCCTCTGTAACATGAAGGGCTCTGCTGACCTCTACAAAGAATCCACTGCGGAGCCTCAGGAAAACATCATACATGGGAGACAAGAGAGAAGGTGGTTTTTTTTTTTTTTTTTTCCCATAAAAGCCATGATTTTGATAAAATCCATATATTAAAGAACATACAGCCCCATATCACTCCTGTGTCATGTTTTGGAGCTCTCCATGTGAGGCTGTGACCTACATTTCAGACCACATAAAGCCTGGAGCGAGAGCCCTGCCAAATCCTGATTTTGCTGAGAGCACCACAAGATTTCTCACTGACTTCTCTGGATCTCTGGCATGAGGGATTTGTCCAGTCCTACAGTGAGCCTGCTCATGTAATACTATCTGTCCATGCCAATAGTTTTTCCCTTCAGCCTTCTCCATTCCACCTTTCTGCTCTGTTAGCCCTTGGGCTAACAGGGAATCAACTGCACTGGAACTACAACAATATTTTCCTTTGTGTGGCGTTTTTCAGCCCCACATCTCTAAGAACAAAGAGTTTTAGTACCACCACCCTCTTTACATACAGCTTAGAGCTCTTCCCTGGGGAAACCACAAAGCTGAGAACAGAATATATTTCAGATCTAGTCATCTACTTTGCTGCCTGAATCTGTTTTTTCCCTGTCTCATTATCCACCTCCCAGATGCAGCACGGAAGGAAACTATTCCTGCTTCCAGGAGCTGTGTGACAGCAGAGCCCAGCTGATGATAACAAGGTCATTAGTGGCTAGGAGGGCTGCAAGAAGTCATCCTATGCCTTAGTGATAAACTGAGGCCTATGGATAATGGGCCTCAGGTTTGCTCATCACCTCTGTTCCCCAGGGGGCTTGTGGAGGTGTTGGATACGCTCATCAGTGACAAGACTTCCTGCTGGAATTACTGCATCAATTAGCAAAATGAAAAAAACATCCTTCTGCTCTCTCCACTTCAAGCAGCTCCTTCCTCCCAGCTCATGATGCCCTCTTTGCATTTTTTCCAGAGTGATTTATTTCATCTTGTGGTGCATTGCAAAATTGCCCGGCCTAGCACTGATAGTGATGACCTATTTTGCCTCCAAAGACCAAAGCATGGCTTTGATTACATCACTGTCCCAGCCATTTTAAATCCCAGCCACTTAGCAGCAAACTTGGAGTAAGCAGGTCACAAAGAGTTCAGAAACAAATGGCTTAGGATGCTAAATCTCCACTACAACACATCAGTGGCAGGACAGTCCAAGCAAATAGATGGTAAATCCTCACGGCACCACTACAGAATGGCAGTGCCATCCTCCAGAGAGCAAGAAAGGACAGAGAGCTCTCTGAGCACACCCATTTCTGTTTCTATTTAAAGGCTTTCGCTTGGTGCTTATGAAGTTACTCTAACCCATGAAAGCTGCTCCTTCATAATTCGGCATCAGCTAGGTGCGGAGAAAGGACATGACATAAGGTTTCTCATTTTATCCCTGCCCATATTGTTTTGTGGCTATGCAAGTCACCACACTGCGTATGCCTCAATTTCCTCACCTGCCAAGTGGGGATATTCCTGGCTGTGTAGGTAAGTTCAGTGATCTCAACTCAGAGAAGTCCTTAATGGTGTGCCTGCCTTTGAGCTCATATTGAAATCTTTTGGGGAACATTGCTGAAGCCTCCCTATTAAAAAAGAGGATTGAAGGCATCATAAAGTCCATTGTAGTCAAAAACCATCACTGGTAATCTCTACTYTACATTAATTTCCATTGGGACTTTGCTGGTGATTACAAATTTCTCATTTCCCAATGAATATTTACTCACATTCGGAGTGACAGAAGTCAGACTGCACCAGYAGATATTTTTTTTCCACTTTCCAGTTGTAAACTGTGCAAACATTCATTCAGCTGTAGMCAAACTACCATAAATCATCTGCTGACATTTTTATAGAAATGTATTTTGTKTCTAGATGGTGAGGAGATCATCTCATGTTTCCAAAAGACTTCTTCCCAAAGACAATGTTTGCCTCAGTGGTCAGTTAGGCACCCAAGAGCTCCTATACTATTTKTGGTGAGTTTTTTGCTATCAGCAAAATGATTTTCACTAGCCCATTTACATGAATGAATTTCATTCCAAATCCTAGTTTTGAGATTTTGAGCTGAAAAGCCCCGTGTAAGTGCCTAGGGTTATTTTCAATTAACAATATTTAATTCTGTGATCACATTTTTCCTCTATCTTTAGAGCCAGCATATTAATCCTTTGGAACAAAGATGGCTGCATTTTAATGAGGATTTAAAAGAGGGAAGTTCTGCTCTAGTACACAGAGTATAATAGATGGTTTTTGTGATCTGTATCGTCCATCCAGTCACTTTCATTTTCCCAATAAAATCTGGAGAGCAGCCTGTTCTATCTCCTGCTATTCATTCCACTTAGTGTTCAGTGTGAGAATTTGCAGCTGATATGTGATATTSCTTATAGGCAATATGTCACAATAACACCAAAGAAATTATAGTATTGTCCTCTTCAGGCCTGCCTGCACAACACAGCTCAGAGAAGCATTCCTCTTAATTGTGTTTTTTAATGTGTTACCTCCTGGTACTGAAGCATAAATGAATCCCTGGTCAGATGAGGTTCTCCTCAGAAAACACTGCACACGAGAAAGATTTCACTGCCCAGCTGTCTTTCTGGGCAACCTTGAAGGGCTTTGTGAAGCCAGATCTAAGGAAGTTCTTACAGGTGTATCTAATTTCAATAGGTGGTGTTCCCACAACCAGCTGAAGATTTAAGAGGGTAAAATGATGGTGCACTATTTTAGGAGACTTCGCTGAGCAGAAATGCCTGAGATCAGAGATGGGCTATGGTGAAGCATGATTTCAGCACAGAAGCATAGATATTCCAGGTCTTCAGGCATCATGGACTTTGTTTCTCTTTCCAACTGATGCAATGAGGTGGCTTCTCTGGACTCAAGGGTGGCTGCTATAAACAAACTCTCTAGATTGGGAAGGCCCTGATTTCCACAGACATTTCAGTTGGGAAAAAAAACCTTGGTGTTGAGATGACCATAGTTTAGAAATGGATGTTAGGTTGTAAGTTGATGGCTGGAGATATGTTAACTTTGTTCTGCCTTTCTTCCATTTCTTTGGGCCAGAGGATCACTGACCCAGGGTGGCCTTGCATGTGYATCAAAAGAGCTCATTTCTGTGTTGAGACCTGTGTTTCTGAGGACAGCTCCTTGCATGTCCTGGGGATGCACTGAAGTCTGAACCCWAGACAAAGGTTGAAGTGTACCCACTTTTTTTGGTATCTGGTTCTCTAAACTACAGCAGTGTGAGATTCACAGCTCACATTTTGCTCTCTGAGCTCTGCTTACACCTCAGCTAAGCTCCTTTCCTTCCCTGCTCCCTCAGGGCAGCCCTCTTCACTTCTCCTGTTTCCAGCAAGCAGAGCCTGTCCTCTCTTCCCAGCAACCCCACACACTCCTGGACCATACGCCTGCAAAAGGATGTTCTGTTCTCCTCTTCATTAAGAAACAGTGCAAGTCTCCTCCCCGTGTCCTAGAAACAGTGATTCCCTGCTGGCCCTACAGGCTGCCACGGCACTGAGTACCCCTGGTCCCGCTGGTTCTGCAGGTGACATTCCTCCTCCTTGCTTTGCRGAGGTTCCCCCAAGGCCATCTTTGCCATCCTATGATATGATGGTAACTGAGCCCTTCTAGCTCCAAGTGGATCATTTCTTCTTTCATTTATCTCATCTCAGAGGGCCCTGGAGGTCTGTTCCTATTCATTTTACTTTCTGGTGGAGCTGATTTCCCTGTTTCCATTTGATTTGCTTTCATTCTCAGACCCTTTATGTTTCTCTTTTTTAGGGAGGCATGTTCTCAGATTAAATACAAACTGTTATTATGCTCTTATTTTTATTATTTTAATTTTGTTCCTTCTTCACTGCGATGCTGGACAGTGTGCCTCCACAAGCAGACTGACAATCTACCGAAAGGTTAGCCCCACAGTCCCACCGGAGCAAAACCCCACAGGCTTTTGGAGAGCTCTGCTTCTAGCCTTGTCATCGAGGTCTGCAATGCACTGTGTGGCCTCGGGAGTGCTTTGCTAGTGGCATTTGAGACATCAGAACTGCACATTGCTGCAAAACCTTAGAGCCTTAGCTTGCGAGGGATGGAACTGCCTCACAGGAGGCAGCTAGCACAACGCAGCTCCATCTCCTCTCACTGTATCCCCTGCTTGGCCAGCTCTCCAAGACGGAAGATCCCTGGATGAGTTTCATGCAGTACAAAGAGTGTTAGACTAAACTGGAGACATGGATGTGCTTCCAGGCCCACAATAGAGGGACCATCTTCATTCTACACCCAATTTGCACTGAAGTCCATGCGACTTGGACAACCACAGACATTTTTGCTCACTTTCTAAGTCACATCTCTAGGATGCATGAACCACACTATAAGAAAATCACAAGGCTTATTCAACGGTAGTGGAAAATGTGTTTTGCTGTCATGGGTAGAAGGCACAGCTCAAGCTCTGCAGACAGGAATACAGAGCAGAGTATTATTCCCCTCATCCTGCTGTAACTAGAAAAGCAAGGAAAAGTTGCTCCCTCCCCGCTCCATGCTTCAGGACAGGGATTATGGTGTCTAAGGAACCATGAAGGAGAAACTCTCAACAGCATTTCCAGCCTTCTCCGCAGCCTGTTCTTGTCGCTGTCCTGAAAAGTGTAAATCATGTTCCAGTGTAAATCAGGACCCAGTACATCTGTCATGTCTTGGTAGCTGTGTTAGCRGGGCTGTCTGCAAATCCCCTGAGAATAATGTACTTGTGCTGCGGGATGACATCCCATAACGAGATTGTGGTATTCCATAACCCGCGATTTGCTATTTATGACACAGACAGATTTCATAAACAGCAAGGCTTCCAGGAGACCTGCTGGGCTTTGGGGACAGTCATAAACTGGGGACCCTTGGAACCCATGGAGCCATAATTCAGATTCATAGGAGACAATTTCTTAGTGCTTTTAGCTACAAATTAACTACAAATCTGGCTCTGTATTTGAATGTAAAACATCACAGCATAAAATA